TTTACCTAAATTTAACTTAGTAGGTTTTACTTATCAGCAGATTTTACTTATGTTGAAATAGAATTGTTGTATTTTGATTAATAACAAAAATTTTGTTATTAAATTATTTTGGTTCAGTACTTTTAATGTGGATTTTAAACATTTTTTTCCCTCTGTAAAGAGCTAACCATTAGAATAAAAAAGGTGCAGTAAATCCTACACAGAAAACAAAACATACATTTGATAGAGGAAAGTACAAAATGGTCAAACTCAAACCACACAAAAGACAAATAAACTGAAGTCTGATGATAATACCATATGTTGTGTCACAGTAACATGGTGAATTTAACATGAATTAAAGATGCACAGCTGCTTTATCTGGTCTAAATTTGAAGGCTGAATATGCCTTATTAATATGTACCCACACTGATACACACATTTTTTTTTCTTCAGAAGATTCTTTGGTTATAATCCATACAAAATAGCATGCGATCAGTTATAAAGCATTCAAGAGATACGAATTGTGGTAATTTTTGCCAAAAATCAAACCATATGACTGATCAGAATTATTTTATTTTATGGTCATATATGCTCTACGTGCCAAATATCTGGTTGTTAGTGAATTCCCCAAATTTTTGGCAAAAATCCAAAATGGTGGCAAATCATGTGTTTGTTATCTGAAGCAGTATTAAGTATAAACCAGTATAAAGATGCAACACGTCAAACTTCAAAAAAATTTGACAAATATGGCAACGAGAACAGCCAAAACACATGACCAATCACAATGTTCTTAAAAAAAAAAAATTGAAAAAGCTGTGACATGCACAATTTTAACATAAACATTTTTTCTTAGCTGGCTCAGAGGTTAGACTTCACTTAGGCATCAAAGACAATTTCATTTTGCCTTAACACCCTTCAATATTTTTAAGTTATTCCTACACTGTATATGCCATGGGATGGACCATTAGAACCTGTGGGAGTACTGATGACACATAAACAGTATTCATTTAGTTTTGTGAGCTCATTTTTTGTTCCCAAGATGAATTTGGAGTAATTTTTCCAATGTGCAAATTTTTTCTTCTTCAGTTATTGATTCCTACAGGATATTTTCTGCATGTGCAATTTATTTTTTTCCAATTCTGCCTTTGAGTTTCCAATGGTCAACTCCAAAGGCCATTTTATAAATGTTGGCCTTGAAAAAAAACGTTCTATTTCATAAATTGGAGAAACATTTAATCTTTCAAGACATGACTCGTTGAATGTGTGTAGAATAAAACCTACTTGTCAAGTTCTTACATTGTCCTTGATGAAAAGCCTAAACTAGGTCAACTAGGTAAGTAGAACATATCTAAGTATTGCCACAAGAGGGAGCACTGTAGGAGCTTTTTCTGCATCAGTTGTAACACGGTTACTAAAAAAGACTGTTAGGAACGCTATTGTTAAAAGGTGTGAATCTGCCTAATCCCTCAAGGATGCGTGTCGCGCTGTGTACGCCCTCTATTGCTTGAGATTTCAAGGCTCACCATTTTGTTTCATTTTTGTGTCAATCACTTGATGTTCCGCAAATTTGAAATTTTAAGCTCGTTTTCGATAGAATATCCACGTTTAGTGCACAAGCTCTACGAAGAACTACACGTACATTTCGGATGAGTACTGTTTGTGACTGTGATAACATTCAGAATCGAGAATCGTCATTCATCATTTTCATTTGTCATGAAAGTAAGCTTGGGTTCCGGAAGGAAAAGTGACGAAAATTCGAACCCCTAAGTCACTATTTTAAAATACATTATATTAT